TTACGACCTGGGCCGAGGGGGGATGAACGAATCGCGGGGCGAGACGAGCGAGAGAGCGAGAGAGCGGGAGACAGAGAGTGACACGAGGGGAAGAGTGGCGCGACGAGAGAAAGAGAGAAAGAGACAGAGAGATCGACACTCCGGTATAAGGGCTTTGCGCAGTTATAAATGCGGTTTTGTATCTGGCTTTACAGGACAAAGTAATGGGCTTAGATAATCCTGATTTAATAAATCGAACAGTTGCGCGAGGAGGGCGAGGCGCGCGCGGGGGTAGCGCGCGGGACGAGCCAGGGGTTGCGACGAGCAACGGCTGCGTGACTAATGCGTTCAAAAACAAGACGAATGACTCGCCGGAAAGATCTTCCTCTGCATTTACATTTCACCACTATATTTCTTCGCGGGAAAAATCCCGAAAATGCCGAACCAAATCTCGCGCATTATCCCGTCCCTCCCCTCCCCCTACATCCAACTGCTACATTTTTTCGGCCCGGGATTTGCCTCGGCTGCGGCCATTTTTTAGGGCTCGCTGGATTAGCTTTTTTCCTCTCAGCTGCTCGCCTCGAGGCTCCTCGATTATTAACGCCGATACGATGCTCGTTAATAGAATACGTCCCCTCATCGTCACGCTGTGTCCGACATCGCAGAGAGTTCTTCTCCGCGTTCGATCTCTGAAAGATGCTGCGAATTAGTCGCCGATTTTGGCACGCGCTTGGCTAGAATCTATTAATAGACCCGATTACTGTGCTCTCTGTTCGCAGACAACGATAGTTTATGCATTTTTATTCGGAAACGAACGGAGCAAGGGATGACAAAATTACTTAGAGCCGATTACTGTGCTCTCTATTAGCAGACAACGATAGTTTACGCATTTTTATTCGGAAACGAACGGAGCAAGGGAGGACGAAATAAATAACCTATTTAGAATTGAAAAGAGGTTATGTTTTCAAGATGTCTGCCGACGTTGGAAGACTCGCTTTTTCTCCCAGCAAATTCTGACGGAAAATATATCATAGTAGAATTTACAAAAACGTGGCGCACTAGCACAAATATATTATAACTATATAAAACAACTGAAACCTGATTGCGACGAAAGTATCGGCGAAATTTATGCGACATTTTATCCGGAGCTCAGCGAAACAGCCGTTCGAATTTTCGGCGGAACGGGTTAAAACGTGTGTTTCTTTGGCGGGCCAATTACGCGGGCGAATGGCGGACCGGTTTTAATCGGCTGTTCTAATGTTATCGTTCAATTTGAGGGCATGTAAAGCGCGGAGATTTTAATGGGATATTATCGGGTACTTGCGTCACGTTTTGGCCCCATTACGGTCTATTAAATTAGAGGTAATTCCTGGTTAAACAGCGCGCGCCTCCATGGGCGCGTTATCCGAAAATCAATTCTTACGAACCCGGCAGGGCGACGGGAGGGGGGAGGGCGACGGATCGCTCCGTTTAAAGATAAATCGGATCGCGGCCGGCAGCAGCCGTTTATCATCGAATCGTCCGCCGGTTTTGCCGGATCGCCGGCCAATAAACAGAGCCCGGATTCTCCGAGCAGGGACCAAAGGGGACTTTCTTTGGTTTATTCGTCGCGATCGGTTCTCTAACTGGCGGAGAAAGATTTTAATGAACCCCGGGGTGTGGTGCGCCGGGGGGGGCGCGGAGAACGAAGAGGAAGCGCCCGGCGAGAGATAAAGATGTCGGAACTGTTGCTCGGACGGTAAAGCGCGCCCCTTAAAAGTCGAGTCGCGATCCTCGGCAACGCCGGTCGTAAATGAAAATCGAATTCCTGATCTCGGGAACGAGCAACGACTTCCAATCCGAGAGGATCCCGGACGCGGCGCGGCGCGACGCGACGCGACGCGGCGAGTCGGGTGTCGCACTGTCTTCGCGGACTGCCGATAAAAATTTATCCCTGGCCGTTCCCGGTTCCAGCTTTCTTTTTCATTTCGGAGCCCCGCCCGCGCGCGCCCCCGCGCTCCGCCCACGTTTCTTTTTTATTACGCCGGACGATAAAACGTCCGATCGATCAGCCGCGATCAACATATCGTGCGGAGAAATCACGCGAACGAATTATTGAGTCGGACTACTACCCGGAAATATTTCTCTTCCTCGATCTCTGATAAGCATGCCGGACCCTCCGATCGTCGGATCCACGGGGCGGCTTTATCAATCACCCGTGGTCAATATCTTCGCCGCGAAGTCGTCCTTTCCCTCGCAGCATTTTCGCTGTTTGATTTTTATCTTCGCCCTGTCGTTCCTTTCACGGCTGATAGCTGGTCTTGGCGCGGTCTTGAATCAGCGTTCGCGTTTAAGGGATGTTCCGAAAGATGCTCTGCAGGAATTAATGCCACCGATTTTTTCTTTGGAACGATCATTGCGAATTATTCAGATTTTTCTTCGCTGTAAGAACTATTATAAATAATTCAGATTTTTCGTTGCTGTAATAACCATTATAAATAATTCAGATTTTTCTTTAATGTAATAACCATTATAAATAATACAAATCTTTCTTTGCTGTGATAACCATTATAAATAATTCAGATTTTTCTTTACTACGATAATCATTATTAATAAAAGAATAAATAATCCTTTCGATCAATTAGTAACCATTATTGATAACTAGAATTTATTTTGCTAACGAAAAATAAACGAATAAATCTTTGTCATGACCAAATAATAAATTCCTTCAAAAACAACTCTACGTTAATTGTAGCAGCCAAATATCCACAGCAGAGAGAAGTAGAATTCCAAAAAAGAAAAAATAAATCGAAGCACGTTTAAAATATTGGATAAAAATAGGCCAACATCGAGGGTCGCTAACAGCCGCGAAAGATCGTCGCAGAAATGAAAGCCCTCGAATCCGGCGAACGCATACGCGGCGGAATAATTGCTCCGAGGAAACAGGAGAAGCCGCGGAATGCTATCGGGCTAATGCAGCCGGGCGATTCATGCTAAAAAATGTAAATTCGTATAAACATCCCCGAGTTTATCGCGATTTACATTTTCCCGGGGAAAACGGTGTCCGGCGTCTCGCG